AAGGAGGGGGGGGGGGGGGGCACGAGTTGCATGCGCCGCTCGGGGGGCAGGGAGACGCCAGGCTCGAGGTTGCTCTCGAGCGGCTAGAGAGAGGCTGAGCGATGAGGGGCGCCGCGAGTTTGCTCTCGGGCGGCGCCCACCGCACGCCAATCATGACGCTAGCATGACACACTGCATGTGCATGTCTCTGTTGCATGTACCCCATGCATGTCCGTCGGCTTTGGCCCTATATGTGTAGTAGACGGAGAGAATGAGTGCCGCACCATGCCCCGTGGCCGTCGTGCCGCGCCCCGTGCGCGCGGCCGCGCGCGCCCCCCAGCGCGGCGGGTGTTCCAGGCGCTGTAATTTCATGCATGCCGGGTATTACTTTACACGCATAATTTTATGACTGTAATTTCACACCCGTTATTTTTACAAGTGTAATTTTGATATAACCACCTTTGTCATATTATGGAAGTGTAAAATCATGGGCCGGACCCATGATTTTATGCCACCGAGAAATCTGTGATGCGAGCGAAGGCGCTCCGCCAGCTGTCTGTTCGTTTTGGGGGTCACCCGCCCCATCATGCATGCCGCCGCGTACACATCCCTACTCGCTATCGGTGCGCACTACTATTGCACGCACACTTGTACACTCGTTCGTCTGACCGTACTTTCGCCTCGCACGCGCCGCGATTCTGCAAGCGTGCCAGCGGCGCCCGCTATTTTGCGTGCTATCGTTGCGAAGACACCGCCTTGAGCAGCGCCGCCCACGGCGCGGGCGGGGGCAGGGCCGTCCCTGTCGGCGCCGCCGCCCGAAGCGCCGCGGAGATCTTCCGGAGAACCGCAAGCTGCGGCGTGTCCTCCGCCGCCGGGATGACTTGCGCATCGACCGCTCGCAGCCCGAGGGAGCGGCCGACGGCAGCCGCGGCTTGCCGGCCGGTGACGACTGCCTTCTCGGTGCTCCATGACGCGTGGCCTGTGCGGTCGACCCAGTCGCCGCATGCGTACACGCCCTCGCCGAGGCGCAGCCCCGGGGAGAGAGCCGCCGAGCCGAGCGCGAAATGCGAGACCGCACGCCTCGCCCGCACGACGGCAACGTCGACGATGAGCGACGGATCCAGCGTCGCGGCGGGCACACCGAGCGCGGCGGCGGCGGCCTCCAATGCGAGGCGGGCGACAGCGTGGTCGTCGTCGACGTCCGCGATGCGCTCCGCGCGGTAAAAGTCGACCTCGAGAACCGCGAGATCGCCGGCAGCGTGCTCGTCGTGCATGCGCTGCAAGTCGTAGACGCAGAAGCCCGCCTCAGACAGCTCTGCCATCCCGCCGATCTCCGGGCCGCAGACGGTCACCGGCGAGGCTCGCATCGCCGCAGCGACCGCGGGCGGCAGCAGCGTGGATGCATGGGAGCCGCCCAGCAAGCCGGTCGTTCGCGGGGCGGGCTGCAGGTAGACGCGAACCGCTACGCACGTGACGCCGCGGAGCTCGCCAAAGCGCTGCGTCGCAGGCAGCGATGCGAGCAGCGGCGAGGACTCGCACAGCCGCGCGGCCGATGTGGCGCCGACGGCGAGCACGATGGCGTCGCAAGCGAGGGGCGTCTCGTCGCCAAGGACCTTTCCACCAGCAAGAGGCAAAGATGAGGGCGAGGGCAAGGACGGGGAGGTGGGTCGGGGGGCGGGACCTGCACGAGCAGCCCCCCGCAACCCGTAGCCGTGGCCGCCGCGCCGTCCACCGCCGCCGCGCCGTCCACCGCCCCGGCAGGGGCGATGCCGCTGACGCGAGCGCCGCCCCGCAAGACGACGTTGCCGCGCGCCTCGAGCCGCTCCTGCCACGGGCGAAAGATCTTCTCCGTGATGCCACCTAGGAAGTGTCTAGGACGTGTCTAGGAAGTGTCTAGGAAGACGGGCCAAAGCTCTTCTCCGTGATGCCACCGCGGCACCAGCGGACGTCGAAGGCACCACGCGACTGCAGCGCGAAGACGTGGAAGCACGAGAGTGCGGCGGCCGCTGAGATGTCGTAGCCGGGCCCCATGGGCAGCACGTGCAGCAGCGGCGCCACCAGCTCGTCATAGAGAGGATCGGTCACGCCGCCATAGTCCTTGAACAGAGTCTCCGCCGACACGTCGTCGTACCGCGCCCACGAGTCGGCATCCTCCTGCCGGAAGTCGGCCCAGCAAGCGAGTAGGCCGACTCCCGAGGCGCGGTCCAGCAGGCTCAACGGGGAGCGCTCAGAGAATTCTGCTAGCAGCGCGGTGTCGAGCGGCGCGGGGAGCAGGTCGGCGATCTGCTTTAGCGGGTCGGCGCCTGGCATGGACGCGCGGCGGAGCAGCTCGAGCAAGGCGTCGGGTGTCGTGGCCGCCGTCGTCGATGCTTCTGCGGTCGCCAAGACCGGCGCCACTGCAACTGGGCCATTCTTGCTGACGAGGGCGGAGGGCGTGAACGGGCCAAGGACCTCGTCGGCGTCGAGGCCAATATCATCAATCACCTTGAACGTGTTCTTGTACTCGCGCCAGAAGCCGTGGATGCCAGCCTCGACCGGTCGCCCGCCCGGCGTTCGCCAGCCGCCAGCGAGGCCTCCCGCAGCACGTGGCGAGGCCTCGAGCAGCGTGACTTTGCAGGCAGGGTCGGCAGACAGCGCCTCGGCCGCCGTGTAGCCGGCCCAGCCTCCGCCGACGACGACGATATGCGGCGGTGGCGGCGACGCGGCGGCGAGGGAGAGAGGGAGCGGAAGGAGAACGTGAAGCATGGACGAGCGGACGACCGCAGCTGTGGGTGCGGTTCTGTGTGTCGCTGTTTGGCCTCCACTGCCTCTCACGACCAGCCAGGGTTCCGGCTCCTCGATACTTGGCGATCGCAGTCTTGACGTACCGACGGCTAAGGCCGAGTAGCCGGTGTTCACACAGCTCTGTGAACACCGGCAAGAGATTTTCTTTCTGAACGATTTCTTCGGCGTTCAAAACACTCGCTCGGTGTCGAAACACCTCTCTCTCTGACGCGCTCGACTTAGTCTGCGTCACCGCTCTCATGCATGTGCACGTACTTTTTCTCTCTCATCTGCACGCAAGCGGTCTTGGTGCTGCTCAGCGATGCTCACAGCGGCACGTCTGTTCTTTTGCTGTGGGGAGTGCTGTCTGATTGGGTCTCCAAGCCCGCGGGCTCGCTGTGAATGCACCCGCCAGCTAGGCAGCTCCGCGGCGGTGTGGGTGTAGAACGGGTAGGCTGCTGTCTCGTGTCTCGGTGCTCGTACTAAGTCAATGGGAGGAGTGCTTCAATTTCTTCTTCTTATACGCCCAGCTCAAAAGCACACACGCATCACGACGCCTAGACAGGCGAGACGCGGCGACAGCCGCGGGGAGCTGGGTTTAAAAGCGACCCGCTCGGGGGGAGCATTTTTAAAAAAAGGGAACCAGGGGGGGGGGGGTTATTTTGACCCCGAGCCGAGTTTCGTTGGGCTCCCCCCCGGGGGGGAGGGCCCCCCCCCCCCCCCCCCTCTCCTCGGGGGGGCGGGCAGAGCCCGCACCACACACTGCGCCTTTGCGGACGCCGGACCGAGGCCTAAGCGCTGAGTGCGCTGACGTGAGCGGTGAGGCTGGAGCGCCAGAGAGACCCGCGCCTGAGCATGCTGCCGCGCGGGCGAAGTTTGAGTGAGCTGTGTGAAGCCCCGCGCACACGCAATATCGGCTCAGGAGTTCGGAGAGTCAGGCCAACATAGGATCCCGCCGAAATGCGTAACTCCGAGGAATCAGGAATCAGGAATCAGGAATCAGGAATCAGAATCCCGGTCAAAATGTTGGAATCAGGAATCAGGAATCAGGAATCAGGAATCAGAATCCCGGTCAAAATGTGGGCGATCCGACAAATCAGGAATCAGGAATCAGGAATCAAATGGAGCATCAAGAATAGGAAGAGAGACAGGAGAATCGGGAGGGGGGAGCAGAATCAGGAATTGGCTCTGGCTGCCCTAGAGAATCGGAAAGGAAGCGGAGGAAACGAGAATGGAGAATCAGGAAGCTGAAAGCGGGGCCAAGATGGGAGAGTCTGGGGAGAGAATCAGAATATCTGAGCAGAAGAGGAACCTGGGAAGGGGAATCTAGTGAGAGGTAGAATAGCAAGAATCCTTGTGTAGTAGAGCAGAATAGGAATGGCAGAATCCTTAGGCGCGGACAGACTTCTCCATTACTCAGAAGAAAACTGGCCGGCGTCGGGCGGCGAGGCACGCGCCGCCGACGCCGTCGCGTCCGTGTTCTCCGGCCCCGCCGCCTCTCCGCGCGCGGGAGAAGCTACTCCTCGAAGCTACTCCTCCCGCCCCCCGGGGCCGCCCGCCAGGCTGCGCGCGCGCCGCTTGAAGCAGTTTCGGATCTCCTCCTGA